ACAATGTACCCTCCCGACACAAGCTCCCCTAATGGGTCGCTGCAAGCCTTCTTTCTGACTTCAAGGGCGCCCCCTTGAAAGACCAGTACTCTAAGGGCCCAGCTTTCAGACGAGAGCCCTGTATTGAAACGGAGTTGCCTTGCATCCCCCAAGAAAACAGTCAGGATTGCGAAACAGATATGGTCATAAACTTTACCGAGGTGTGCAGCGATATCCTCGTTACGAAAAAGAGCCGCACCCAGTCGTGTAACTTTCGTACAGTTTTGTATTTCTGGTCCAGAACTTCGAAGACATTCCAAGCGGAATGAACTTCCTCCATGCGTACAGCAAGTTTATGATCTTTCACAAACTGGAGTCTTAAGTGAGAGCCCTACCTTGAAAAGGAACTTCCCTCCATCCCTGTAACTGTAGTATGCTTTGTACACGAACGTGCGCAGCGCTACTTCGAGAATCCCGTTTTGGAGCGGAATATCTCGCTATCGTTGACACTGTCGTAAGTTTTCCAGCCGAGTGTGCGCGGTGCTGAGGCCAGAAGTCATCTTCAACATAACCTCTCCTGCATGCTTGTAGCTATTGCAAACATTTACGATGGGATGTGCACGTCGTTAAGGGGATAGGTCCATCATTGCAACCACCCCTCTCCATCTTTGCAGCTGTTGCAAACTTTGAAGACGAATGCGCGCGGTGCTGATGCGAGAGCACCATTTTTGCAAACCACCTCCTCCACCAGTGTAGCAGTTGCAAATTCAAGTGCCAGGATGATGCACAATGGGCAAGTTTCAGGCGAAAAGCCCGGCCCGCTCTACAGGGCACGTTTGGCGGCGCGATTTGGAGGAGTTATCTATGAGGAGCAGGGATGCAGGAGGAGGGGGGATGAGAGGGAGGATATGGAAGCAGAGGACGAGGGGAGGCCTTCCCTGGCCCCTCCCCCTCGTCTCCCCTTCCCCCCTGCCATCCTCCCTGGCCCCCTCCTTCCCCCCCCGTGCGCGGCCCCAAGAAAGCTCGGCTGCTTCTCGGGGACGGTTCTTTCAGCCAGAGAAAACAGGTCGTCTTGGGGGCCTCGTGGGGGTATCTCGGGGCCTCTCGAAGCCTCCCTGGGGCCTCCTGGGCCAACTGGGGCGAACAACTCGGATTTCCCTCTCTTGCGCTCTTCTTGGGGCTGTCTTTGGGCCGTCTTGGGCCGTCTTGGGCGCCTCTGGGGCCGTCTTGGATCCCTCTTGGGCCGTCTGCGGGCCCTCTTGGGGCCCTTTTGGGGGCCACTTGGGCCGTCGTGGGGCGGTCTTGGGAGTCTCTTGGGCCGTCTCGGAGCGTGAGAAGCTAGAAATGTCGAGGGCCCCCGTAACACTGAAAAGCCCAGGGGAAACCAGCGATTTTTGCCTCTCGGATCTCTTGGGAAGACTCTTTGGGCTCTCTTGGGCCGCATCGAAGGCTTCTTTGGGCCGTCTTGGGGCCTTCTTGAGCGTGCTGGAGGCGATCCTTCGGCGACTCGGGGCCCTCTTGGACCGTCCGGGCGGCCTCCTGGCGCCCTCTTGGCCCGTCTTGGGGCCCTCGCGGCAGGAGGAGGAGGAGGAGGACGAGGAGGAGGAGGAGGAGGAGGAGGAGGTGGAGGAGGAGGCGGAGGAGGGGGAGGAGGAGGGGAGGAGGAGGAGGAGGAGGAGGAGGAGGAGGGGAGGAGGAGGAGGAGAGGGAGGAGGATGAGGAGGATGGGGGAGGAGGAGAAGGGGGAGTCTAACGGTGTGGTACGGCGCCAGGGCCGCCGTGCCAGCGCGCTATCTCCACAGGGCCCCGAGATGATCCCAAGTTGGCCTCCGGGCGGCCCGAGCACGCCTCACGAACACCCCCGGAGGCTTCGAATGCAGCCCAAGAAGTTCCAAGAGGTGCCAAGAGGCTCGAGAGAGCTTCCAAGAGCGGCTCCAAGACGCACCAAGAGAGGCTTTGCTTTATCAGTTTTGACTCTCATGTTGGGTGAATGGTGCTCTGCAGACAGCATTTGCACTTGGGGGCGTGCTCATCTTATTCCAATCATGAGGAGTGCTCCCCTGGTTTTTCCCTGGACGCCTGGACCTCGTGGTTTCCCCGTGTGCTGGCTGGGCTCCCCGGGTGGTAGCCCCGTCGCCGCCCGTCCGGCGCCTCGTGGGCGCCTCTTGTGCGCGGGCGGGGCTCCCCGGTTTTTTTTGCTCGGTCGGTGCCCTCGGTTGGGCACCTCGTGGGCGCCTGGTGCCCTGCCCGGGTTTCCAGAGTCTTCGCCGAGCCGCCGCCGGCGGGCGTCCCGTCGCCGCCCACATCGCTGGCACAGCATAGCCTGCGCCACATCGCCTGCACCGCGTAGGCTTCCACCACGTGGCTTGCACCGCGTAGGCTTCCACCGCGTAGCTTGCACCACGTTGCTTCCACCACACAGCTTGCGCCACACAGCTTGCACCACACTGCCTACACCGACAATCTTGCACCACGATGCTTGCACTACATATAGTGCACCACATAGCCTACACACCTGGAGTGTAACAACTCACTCTTTGGGGTCCCCGCTGGCAGACATCAAACATATCTCTGGGCTTTTGGACTGACATTTTCTTAGTAATGCGTCAGATGGCCCTCAGACAGGCCAAGAGGGTTCCAGGAACTTCCCCCTAAGGGGCATTATGGCCCGAAGAGAGCCCCAAACGTTCAAGAAAGCCTCCAAAGGGGTTCACGACAGCCTAACACGTCGCCGGGACGGCCCAACAGAGCGAGCCTCCAATCCCAAGACGCGCCAAGACAGTCCAACATGGCTTCAAATGTGTCCGCAACCATTTTGGCTGCAGGCTTTGACTTTGTTCCCAAGGTGACCGTGCGAAAAGTCTCTGGTCTTCTGATTGTCGCAGCTGTCCAGTTCTCACAGGAAGTCTCTCCTGCAGCTCAGTTCCGAAGCACGCCTGATGATGTCGCTGCTCTCCGTCGTGATGTCCCTCTTCACCATATTCCTAGTTTCTGGCGCATCGCAGTATTGTTACCCGTGCGATCCTTGTTGGCCGGACCAGTCTGCGTGGGATCAGCTATCCTCCGACTTGGATGGCAAGCTGTTCCAGACAGATGTCACAGACTACGAGGTTTGCGAATCGGTGCCAACCAGCAATTTAGCAGCGTGGACGCTGATAGATGCTGAGAACGGGATCTGCATGCAGCACCACAGCTGTGCGCACGACCAGTGCGACTCGGACAAAGCGTGGAATTTGCCGGCCTACACTGTGCGGGCAGAGTCCGCAGATGACATCAGGGTGGCGCTGACGTTTGCACAGCTGCACGACATCGCAGTCAGCGTAAAAACCAGTGGCCACAGCTACTCAGGGAGCAGTACGCTCAAAGGCTCGTTGCTGATCTGGATGCGCCACTTCACGCAGTACGGGACGCAGCAGGCCTTCACCGACAGCTGTGGCACGCTGACGGATGCCACGCTGAAGGTCGGCGGCGGGCAGGTCTGGTACGAGGCGTACGACGCTGTCAAAGAAGACTTCAACATCATCGGCGGGGGGGGGAAGACTGTGTCTGCCGCTGGTGGCTGGCTTCAGGGCGGCGGCCTCAGCGCCATGTCGCCCAGCTACGGCCTTGGCATCGACAACGTCCTTGAAGTCCACGCCATGCTCGCGAACGGAACAGAAGTCGTCGCGGACGCCTGTACCAACCAAGATCTGTTCTGGGCGCTTCGGGGGGGCGGAGGGGGCACTTTCGCAATCGTGATGTCTGTCATCTACCGGCTTCACCCACCCTCTCCGGTAACGCAGCTGGTGGTTTACGTGGATTTGGCAGGGTGGGAATCCGATTTCGGCAAGATCACGGCACTGCAGGCATGGTGGCACAAAATCGTCGACCTCCAACAGGGTGCAGGCCTGGACTCTCGTTGGGGCGGTTATTGGCAGATAGCCGCGGGCCATGGCGTTCTTTTCTTCATGGGAACCAACGAGGAGGCTTACGACACTCTGATCACCGACCTCGAGGCTTGGAGATCGAACCGGAGCGATGGCGATCACATCTACCTGGTGGTCACCGAGGGGGACTCCTACTACTCGGTCGGGGGGCACGAGGCGCTCGAGACCGACATCGGCAGCCACGCGGAATTTGATATAGACTCGGTGCTCATACCGCGGTCGTACGTGGTCGACCAAGACGGGGCTGTCATGAAATCAACGATGGACGCCTTGCTGAGCGCTGGTGTCTGGAGCTTCACAATGTATCAGCTCGGAGGGCAGGTGATGAATGTCTCGGACATCGCGACCGCGATCCACCCGGCAATGCGGGCTGCACAGTTTTCCTTTATGAGCTCCCACTATGTGTCCAAGCTGCTGAGGGACAGCATTCCTGGATCTGCGACCTGTCACAATCACCACGGGCCAGAGAACCGCACTCTGGAGTCGCTGTTCGGCGACAATTTGCAGAGGCTGCAAGAGGTGAAGGCCTCCTACGACCCCGATAATCGCTTCAACTGCTACCACTGTGTGGGCTGGCAGGATCCTGGGGACGAGGACTTTTCCTCCTGCGCTGCTCCAGCTGAGACCACCACGACGGCCAGCACCACGACGGCCACCACGACCGAGGAGACCTCGACGCCAGACTGCGACTGCTCCAACAGCAGCGAATACCTTACGGTATGCGGTGTTGACGGCAACGACTACGGCAACGCGTGTCTTGCCGAGTGTCACGGCGGTGGCTATGCCTTCGACGGGTCGTGCTCTGCCAGCCTCGACTGCAGCAAGTGTGCAGACGAGGATCGGGATTGCGTTGCCGAGGACACTGAACTGCGCGCGGGCACGTGTGACGAGGGGTACCTCGCCATGGAGGGGTGCTACTGCTCCAGCTCCGACGAGTGTGAACCGGGAAGCTTCGGATGCTACGAAGGCCCCTCGGCAGGAGCCTTGGCCTGCGGCCCTGCCCTCGTGTCCTTGCTGAGCGTGGCAGTGGCGCAGGTGTAGGAGACCCTCCGACGCGGTGGCAGACCAGCCTCTCACGCATGCCAGTGGGCTGGGTGAGGCCTGCAGCTGCACTCGTTCCCCTCGCGGCCCGAACCGAGGACCAGACCGTCGGTTCTCTCTGCGTGCCCCCTGCTCCTCTGGACGCCGCTGCGCCTGAGGGCGGGCAGCGCCACACCTGCACCGTGGAGCGGGATGCCCTGCACAGCATGGACGTCTCGGTTCCTCCGCCCGCTCCTCCGCGTCACGCCATCCTCCCGTCGTCTCTTTCCATCTCGGTCCGAGGGCTCAGCTCGATTGCTCGCTGTGAGAAGGGTCTCGCTGACTGTCCGGTCCCGTGCGAGTGCCGGAGTGCTCCACAGCGCGGTCGTCATGCTTGTTAGTTGGCCGACCCTCTTTCTCTCTAAACTTGATGCGGAGCGCCGTTCTTCCTTGCACGCTTGTTTGTGTGCACGGTTGTCGATAAGGTCCCTCTCGGTCTCTCGTTTCCCTCCCTCTCTCTCTCTCTCCCTTTCTGTCGTTGCTAATTTGTGAGTGATCCACTCGCCCGATGACAGGGCAACAGAGTGCAGTAGTAGCACGGCATCAAAGGAACAGCTTGCCAGTAGCAGGGTCGCTGCTGTTGGCCAAGATGTTTTTTGTTTTTTATTCTCTCTCTCTCTTTCTCCCTCTCTTCGTGGCTCTCTGTTCAGACTGTGCGCGGAGCTCGTGCCTCTCTCGAATGTCCGCCTGCAGCGCAATCGTTGTCAGTATGGGATGGTGCCTCGGCTGGCTGGCCCTTCGCCAGACGACAGGGTCATCGTGAGTGCAGTCGTATGGCGGCACCAAAAGAGCAGCTGCTCAGTAGCCAGAGCCTCGTGGTTTGCCAGGACGCTTCTCGTCACTCTCTCTCTCTCTCGCTCTCTGCCGCATTCTCTGTCTCTATCTCTGTTCCAGGCCTCCGACGGCGTTTTTTTCAATACTCGCTCCCCCAGGCTGGGAACGCCCGAAGACTTCCGGAAGGGAGGCCAAGATCGAGGAAGGTCAGTATCGCTTCACCGACCTCTATCCCCATCCCCATCCCTATCCAGACCCCCACCATCTCAGCACCCGAGTTGGGGATGTACCAGTCGAGACCCGAAGGAAGCGGTCCATATCCCCATCTAGGGGGGTAAATCGGCCAGTGGGGCCCAGGCCACGCCGTTGGGCACAGGGGTCGAATAAACGATGCTCGGAAATCTTCAGAGGTCTTGGTCGTGGCCCCCCCAGTCCGCAGTGTCCCAGCGCCGCGCCCTGCGATGCGTCGCACGGCGCCTCGGCCGTCTGCGGAGAGTGCGCGGTCTGCCAGAGGAGGGACAGGTACCAATACTGCTACATTTTTGCTTCCTTGTCTGCGGTTGTCAGACCCCTGTCAGTGTCTCCTCCTCCTGCGCCCCTCCTTGTACTCTTTTGTGCGCCGCCATATCGGCTCACGCGGGCCATTGAGTTAACATGGCGCGCCGGTGACGGACAAGCCCACGCCTCCGTATAAGGACAGAGAAAGTGCTCTGTTCTAGCACGGGTCCCCCTATTAGTACGTCGTGTCTTTCTGTGTCCATACAGTCACGCCCCCTTCAATCTACAGTGGCAGCGGAGCCTGTGGTTGAGATCCACGAGGGGCCTCAGGACGACTCCCCAGTCATGCGACTCTCGGGTGACATACTCTTTACTCTTATCCCGTTCTTCCCGCGTTTTTCCCTATTGCACCGAGCGCCGCCATGGATCCCCCAGACGACGCGCAGCTTCAACAATATGAACTTCCAGCAGATCCTTGGTTACAACCAGACCAGGATCCTTGGGCAGGAGCTGGATAACGAGAAGACGTTCGTTGGGAAGGTGATGATAATGTGGGCTGGTCGGATCAGGACTGGGCCCGCTCGTTATCGCAGCCTTGGACGGAGACACAACCCAATGCGCAACAATCCTCATCAGGTTGGACGGCGCGGGGACGTGGTTCGCAGGCTGCACCAGATCGGCAGAACACGCCTTTGCGAGGAGAGGCTATTACGCCTTTTGTTCCGACCTGTTGGGGGATACCACGGCCAGATCTTCTCATCGCCGACGGGGACGAATTCCTGAACAATCGGAGGCCCTAGCGATACCAAACGATCTGCCTCCCACTTGGGATGGGGAAGATCCAGGTACTCGTCTAGACCCTTACATGAGAGAGCTGCATATGTGGTTTGCTACTACCAGACCTTTGAATACAGAACGCGAATACCTGATCAATCGATGCGCCAAAGACGACCTCAATGTTATCATAAACGAATTCACCGAGGACCAGCTGTCTTCAGATGACGGCGGGCAGGTTGTGGTGAAACGCAGCAAGAAGGCTATCGCCGAGTTCCAAGACCGCAGTTTGCCGAAGGGAAACTTGAGCGACCGCTCCCTGCTGGCAAAGGCGGCCATCGTACCCATGGTATGAGTTCCTCCTCGCATTCTGTCGGGTATCAAGGACATGATGATGGATGCGAGGATTCCGGGTCGGGTCGCGACGATTTCCAACGGGCTCTATTGCGACGGTCTTTGTTTTCCTTGCCCGAGTCCTGTGTGGAACACGAGATCATGACTGAGGCTCTTACGTACATGGGCGACGGCGATGTACTCTTCGTAGCTGGAGACTTGCCCAGCGACGTGGTTCTAGAAGAGGATTGGGCCGTCGCCATCTGCGCTAATTGCAGTCAGGTACGACAGTACCTTTTGACAAGTGGAAACTTGAACGAGGCTTTTTCCATCAGCAACTCCCGAAGGGAAAGTCCAAAGGCTCCCGTAATAGGAAACGCCGAGGGAAACGTGCTGGACATTCCCGACCGACGCGGTGAACCAAAAGTGTGTTGATGAGTTGCTCGAAATGTTCCCGACGTGGGAATATGTGGCATTGGCCTCCAGACTGCATGAGCAACCCAGGCGAGCGCGGGCGCAAGCGGCAAACAGTCTTCGGCAGCTTTGAAGCAGTTCCCCTTCGAAGCAGATGATGCTCTGCCTAGCGTTTGTCAACGGGGACCTACGATGCAGCCTAGGGCCTAGGGGCCAGTTCCTTCTCCTTCCTATCTTTGCTGCTGCCGACTCTGGAGATCATGCTTTCATGTAACTTCAGGTTCAGATGGGCTTCGGCTTTGTGGGCACTGGAGCTCAGCAGGGAGAGTGTGGCAAGGGCCAGTTTGAGAACATGGTGGCATGTCTTGGAGATACATGCGACCTGAAGCCCATGCAGATATCTACTCTGGAAATGGACGCCATGTGCCGTGGAGAATCTACTATGTTTCTCTCCCACTGGACCTTGCCTATTTCCGTGGCGAAGAATGGCGGTGCTCTTGCGATGCATGTGATCTCTCGTGATGCGCCCTCGGTGCGGCCAGTGGGGGTGCTCCGACAGCTTGGCTTGGTTCAAGACTTGCCGGTGGCGTTATCACTTGGAAGGCGCTCGGCGGCAGCCAGTTGAGAGTGCGCGAGGTAGGGGCGCGCAAACACATTGCGATCGATATTTCTGATTTCCCCGAGGAAAGTTGCGAAAGAAAGTGGGGCGTCTGAACAGTGCCTCCCGAGACCCTCAGGGGCGCCGCCAAGTCGTTGGGACCGAGGGCGCCTCGTTCTACGTGAATCCGCAGGCGTCCTCATCGCGAAGCTGTCTTTCGCAGCCGACTTTCTACTCTCCCGACGCTCCACGCGGTGTTGGGCCGCGCGGGGTGCGTCGTCGCCAAGAAAGGGCCGCGGCCGAAACCTCCGACCAGGCCCAGGCAGCCAACGATGACCCCAGAGAAGCAGACGTGGAAATGGAAGCAGTTCTGTCCGAAGCTGTTCGCCATTCTGGACCGCGTGGCCATGGGGCGCCGCGCGGGGGCCCGCGTCGGGGCGAACGCCTGCAAGGACTTGCTCGGGGGCGCCAGGGGCCTGGGTCGGGGGTCGGAATCATCCGCCCGACGACGGCCTCGCGGCCCGCGACCTCTCTCCCGAGTTCTGGAAACCAGCGGCGGGGAGTGGTTCGCGGTGGGCAGGAGGCTTGAGCCCGACTGCTCGGGCGCCCAGGAGAGCGACCAGGCCGTGTGCGCGCGCCCCGAGAAGGCCATGCGCCATCGGAGCAACAACGACATCTTGTGGTGGACGTGCGAGGACTGCCAAATTCGCTGGGCGAGGCCCCCGATGGACGGCCTCATCAGCATGGGCGACCCAGAGCACGTGGAACGAGCACGTGGACCCAGAACAGAGGTTTGCGGGCTGTGTTTTCAAGGAGATCCACGAGATGGACTTCCAGCACTGCGAGTGGCGCGTGGGGGCTCGCGAGTCGGGCGACCCAGTATTGCATCAACAGCTCCGACGCTTGGCCGCTTGCGCGGCCGGGCGCGAGATGCGCGAGAACATCGCGGGCGGGGGTGGCTTCGAGACGGTCGTGGAGGGGCGCGGCGCCTGATGGATTCGCGGACAGAATATGTTTTTTCCTAATGGTGGCAGGGTGCGTGTCCGAGTGCATCAGGAACCCCGCGACGCCCTCTTCAATCGGACCCACTTCGTCGGCTCCCGAGCGGATGACGGAGGGTGTCAACTCAGATGGTGCTACCAGATTTATTCAGGATGCCTTGGTCTTCGCCGTCCTCTGTCCGTGCCCTGGGCAAGAAACGGGCTGGCCGTGCTCTTCTTTACCGCGCGGCTTCTAGAAACATGATGTTCGCTGGCGCGTTGCTGGCAATCATCCGCCTCGGAGTGCTTGTCTCGGCAAGGTTGGGCAGCTCATTTCTCCCGGCGCTGCCGATGTCAGCCTGGCTGGTCCAGTTTTGGGTAGACGCGTGGCTGTGCTTCGAGGTGATCCAGGTGGTTTCTGGCAGTCCTCCACTCCGCGGAAGTCGGTCAATGCGGCCGCGGCGGGCAGAGGAGTGCGGCGGCTGCTTTTGTGGCGGACCACCAATGGGGCCCACGCTTCATTTTCGGAGCTCGATAAGGAGGGTATTGGAACGGCTCCCTATCAAGCGGTAACGCAGATCAAGCGGACACTCTCAGTGAACCATGCCAGCCTCAGCCTTCCTTTTGGAGCAGCTCTGGAAGGAGATGGGCCTGGGGAAAGTCCTGTTGACGATCCCAACGCCGAATCCGACGGCGATGGCGCTGTGCCTGCTTAGCCAGACTGGACGCCTACTGCCGATCAACTGGCCGACCTAAAACTTGCTAATGGTAGCTCTTGGTCATCCTGGGGCTCGAGATTTCGTGCGACTTCTGAGTTGTGGCAATGCTGCGCCTGAGGCTTGCGCGCTGGGTACTGGGCGACAATTTTGAGTTCGACGACTGCGATGCGCACAGGTGGCCTTCTGCTCGCCGTCCTGCTGCTGTTCCTCGGTCTTATCGCTTCAACCATGTTGTTGGCATTGATTTGGTTGAGGTCAAGTGCCCACTCGATGAAGCGCCGCATTTTTGGATCAGTATCACATGTTGGGGCACTTCTTTTCAGTTGGTTGGATATGGGGGGACTGGGGAGTCAGCGGATACAGTAGCATGTGTGCGTACATGGGAAGGAGTGTTTGGCGTGCCAGAGGTTGTTGTAGTTGGTCCTGGAGCGGGGTTTCAGGGAGCGCTTGCCAATGACATGCAAAACAACAGTGTGTGCCTTTTCCCTGCTGATGTCCGCTCTCCATGGCGACGCGGTCAAGCGGAACGTGCTGAGAAATAATGGAAACAACAGCTCCGTTTAGCCGTTCATCGGATTGCTCCGGATGCTCCAGCCGAATGGCATGTCATGGGGGAGTTGTTGCTCTGTTTGGGCGAGGTTTTTCATTCGTGCAACGGGTGTTCGGTTTTGCGCGACGTCTTCCAGCGACGCTGCTCTCCGACGATCCAGTAGATCCCGAGTGCCTGTCCACCGATCTGGTGCAATATTTCCACCGAGCGGACGAGCTGCGCCGAGCCGCTATGAAAGCCTGGACTTCCATGGGCAGCCGAACTCGACTACTCCGAGTCCTACGTGCCAGACACCGCATGCCACCTACCTTCGCGGAAGGTCAACTCGTGTTTGTTTGGAGAAGGGCGAGTTGGCTCAGGGAAGTGTTTTGGGCCTGGTGTGACCATTCTACCTGCTGCTGGTGGGGCCTGGATTAACGTGCGCGGAGCACTGTGGCATGTGTCTAACGAGCAAATGCGTAGTGCCACCCAAGATAAGAGTAGAGGCATCGAGATCGTCATTCGCTACCGTCATCACCTCGAGATTGATCCCGAGCGCACTTGTTGAGTTCGTCGTTATGTCGACGTCTCCAGAGGGAAATCCTATATATTCCCTGGAGACGAGCGTCTACTTGACACTGGAGTGGCAGAGGCCGATGACATCCTCGACGACTCCG